GAGATGAGGTCTTGCTCTGTTGCCCAGGCTGGAGTGCAGTGACACAGCCTCGGCTCACTGCAACCTCCACCTCCCACGTTCAAGCAATCTCCTGCCTCAGTCTCCTGAGTAGCTGGGATTACAGGCAACCCCCCTCCCCTACCACGCCCGGATAATTTTTTTATTTTTAGTAGAGATGGGCTTTCGCCATGTTGACCAGGCTAGTCTCAAACTCCTGTCCTTAGGTGATCCACCCGCCTTGGCCTCCCAAAGTGCTGGGATTACAGGCATGGACCAGCACGCCCGGATGTAAAGTCATTTTTAAAAGGTTACATTGAAAATTGATATGTGGTTGCAAGGAAGGGCAGAGACTTCATCCTAAGGAAAGAGATAAGCAGGAAAATCTCAACCCAGAAACAAAGACTTGGTCTGGGAAAACCATACAGTGCAGGCCACTCCGAGCTCTTCCTGGCCTGGCCATGTCTGAGATTTAGGAAGACAGTAGTCTGGAGCTTTGAAAGATGTTGTAATGCATCATTAATTTGATATCCCCTCATAATAAAAGAGGGCAACATTTTCTTTTCTTTATCCACAATGGCGGCATTGTGGGATCTAGCTGTTCCCAGTGGGAGAGAGGGTGTTGTCAGGGGAAGAGCCGTGGCGCTCAGGCATCTGATCAGATCTTCTCATAAACACTTGAATGAATTCCACAGAAATCACAGAAATGCTTGGGGGTTGAAAGGATGGTCTTTTTAGTGATCCAGGTGTGAGTTTTAGCAGATAGGAGCTGTATCTGTTAAAAGATCAATTACAATTAAAAGGACCAGAAGTACTTATCCATCCTTTTTTCCCATAAACTGCCTTTTGTTGCTTCTCTACAATTTATTAGTCTTAATGGATAACTATAACCTTTGGCTAGTTTTCTGGATGATTCAATATCTCCTTAGAAAGGTCTCTAAACAGATCACAGTGAAAATCACATCAATATCCTTTGTGCTTTTTCAATTCATTATGAAGATTAAAATTATATAAAGCTCATCATTAACTCCAGAAATGAAACTCTGGACTTTACTCAGGTAGCAACAACCTTTTGTTCATATGCACTGCAAACAGTACAGCCTGTGAACCGCACCATTGCATTGATTGGCCATTGTTCAGTTTAGCTCTTACAGCTTAAGGAACACTAGCACATCACTTGAGTCATAAGGAGTCTAGTGTGTACAAATTCTTCTCTCTCTCTTTTTTTATGTTTTTGGACAGGATCTCATTCTGCACAGTCTGGAGTACAATGGAACAATCATAGCTCATTGCAGCTTCCAACTCCTGGGTTCAAGGAATTCCCCCACTCCAGCCTCCTGAGGAGCTGGAATTACAGGTGCATGTCACTTTGGCTGGTGCCTTGCTATTTTTTTCTTTTTTTCTATAGAGACAGGGTCTCACTACATCACCTAGGCTGGTCTCAAACTCCTGGCCTCAAGTGATCCTCCAGCCTTGACCTCTCAAAATCCTGGTATTACAGGCATGAGCCACTACACCTGGCCCAAATCTTACTCAATTGACTCCAAGTCTCAATTTTATCACTTCCCTTCAACATTTCTTACCATTTGCCCCTGCCTCATCCATTTCTCTCTCTTCCCTCCCAAGTTTCAACAGTGCTATTCTCCTCAGAGCTGCATCGCATGCCCTGAAACACTTTCACACTTTCTTTCCTTTCTCTCAACCTGCGCTCAAAACTTTCAAGGACCAAACATGCCTAATCTCAGAGGATCCTCCCCACCCATCAGTCCAGCCCAGCCCAGAGTCTGAGCACAGGTTACTGCTTGCTCTGGGACTTCACCCAGTTCTACCTCCCCACCTCCCGCCTCTGCCCCTCCACCAGTGGACACCCTGGGGCGATTGGCGGCTCTCCCAAGCTAGTTATGCCATTATCTTCACTCTCCATCCCTGGAGCCAGTTTTACTGCTCATTGTTCACTAGAGAAAGGGGAAAAAAACTAAGGCTTTAACTTTCAGAAGGCACTTAACTAGGCAGGAATTTGGATGCTATAGAACTTCACGTTCAATCCCTTTTGTTTTTGTTTTTGTTTTTTAAACAATAACCCATTACAAGAAATACCTTTTACACTCTGACCCAGTGCATATACTTATACACTGAAGAAAATATAAACTAATACAACACACCAGAGGAAGGAACCAAATACACCAACTATATTATGTGTAAAATTAATTCCTATGAATTCAACCACACATTTAAAAAATAATGGAAATTTAGATAGGATGCATGTGCTTTAATATATTACGTACATTTCTGTGTTGTAATTAGAATAGCCAACACTTATTCAGCACATACTCTGTGGCTGGCACATATATTAAATCATGTAATTCTTCTAACACTATGTGGTAGGTGCTGGTATTAGTCCTATTTTACCAATAGGGAAGCTGAGGCACAGAAAGGTTAAATAACTTTCCCAGGGTCACATAGGTAGGAAATAATTGGACCAGGGTTTACACTCAGGCTGACACACTACATAACTACTACCCTACCCCCTCAATCAGACATGTGCAACATTATACCACTGCGTAAGTTTATATTCACAAAGCATATTGCTGTTCGTCAGTAATTTAGAGATTTTTCTAGGTTTTTGTGATCAAAATGATTCTGTTTTCATCCACTACCTTATAATCTTACTCTCTGCAAGATGAAATTCACAGGAAACATTCATATTTGACAGGCTTTTAAAAATTTTGAAGATGGCATGAGCTTTCTTCATGCAATAAATTGATGTTAATAATTAGCATATTCTTTCTACGTAAATATAAAATACTGGAATAATACATACAATAAGAACCAACTGTGGCCAGGTGCAGTGGTTTATTCCTGTAATCTCAGCATTTAGGGAGGCTGAGGTGGGCGAATCACTTGAGGTTAGGAGTTCGAGACCAACCTGCCAATATGGTGAAACCCCATCTCAAGTAAAAATACAAAAAAATTAGCCAGGAATGATGGTGGGTGCCTGTAATCCCAATTTCTCAGGTGGCTGAGGCAGGAGAATTGCTTGAGCCCAGGAGGTGGAGGTTGCAGTGAACTGAGATCATGCCACCACACTCCAGCCTGGGCAACAGAGTGAGACTCCATCTCCCAAAAAAGAAAAAAGAAAAAAAGAACCAGCTGTGCAGCTGCTTTTTTTAATGCAATTTCAAAGTTTCTTTCCTCTTAAGAAAATTTACATATTACAAAAATATTTGCTTTCTAGAATCACAACCTGTTAGAACTAAAAACAGCCACATTTCAACCAACATACCATTTTTACTTTGTGAAAAAGAACGCTGAGGCCAAGAGACACAGCAATTCTGCTCAAGAAACAATTTAATTAAAAATGAATGAAAGATTTTGTAAAAATTAACCACAACTTTCTTGAATACTACCAAGAAAAGTTCATTTATAATGTCACAAGTAATGTGAGACTTCTAAAAATTAGTTCTTTTCTTAAAGTTTCTGTCATTGAAATATTGAGAATGCTTTGTCTTCAAAGCTAAGTTCTATGTGAATAACTTAAGTCAGTCCAAAGAAATAACAAGTTTGAGTATGAATTTATGCTAATTGGGCACACCTATTCAGAAGCAAACAAGTTTAACAAGTTCTCACTGAGAATATACGTTTAGTAGACCTATTAATTTAGCAAAATAATAGTAATATTGACATAAAGCAACCATACCTAGCTCATAGGATAATAAGATGGCAGTGGACATAGAACAATGGTCAAACGCTTCCTGAGTTTCACAAGGTTTATTCCAATTCAACTTGGACATTCATTATAAGCTGAGTGTGAGGTGGCATTTTTGGTTATGGCGTTACCTGGGAGGTATGTCTAAAAGAACAATATTTAGTTAGGCAGTAAAAGAAAGTCCATTTAGCTTTTAGTAATGTCTTGAATTTCACAATCATTTTGCAGAATCTAGCCAGGTAATAACTTTCCTGAACATTGGACCATCAATGAATTTGTGAAGGCAATGCATGCCAGAGTTTCCAAACTCATTTTGAAATTAAGGGCTTAACTGTTTAAATCAAATATTAATCCCCAAGTTAGAGAATTTGGTGAATAATATACATGTAAATGCAAATACATCATCACTTCGACCTGATACTGCTTTCAGGTATCTGAAACTTTTATATGCATCACTCTCACAAATTCATCAGCTCTCCAACGTTCAGCAAAGTCAATACCTGGCTAGATTCTGCAAATACCATCCTGATGTGTAATAGCCCCTAGTAAGCAACAGACCTTTAGATTTATAACCAGTTAGATTGAGAAGATGGATTAGGCTGTTACAATCTACTAATTTGCTCAGTGCTATCAAGTATTGGCTGGTCCTACACTTGACCCAAAATAGTAGAGCATACACTTATGTTTTAGCAAGTTTAGATAATCTTCAGTTTTAAATGCCACAATTTTATTAAATTCAAAGACAATTAAATAAACTATGTCCTCTGTCCTTAAAAATAAGGCTATTTCAAAAGATGGTGATTGATTCATTTTATAAGAATGCAAAAGAAGTGAACATTTCAAATAAAATATACCTGAAAGTTAGGAGTTAAGGAAGTGTTCAGCTACATTCATTAGATTTGAAAATCTTTTCGTCTGCTATCTCTATTGCAGTAAAATACATATGGTAGATAATCACACTAACAGAGTTTCTGATTTTAAATTACATTTCACTTTCAATGCTTATATTCTTTTACTTATTTAAATAAAAACAATTCTATTTAGGGTTACTACATTTATTCATTTTTGAACTTTGAAAAGTTTAACAACTTTTCCACTACTTCCCATCAAAAGTGATATAAGAGGATAATTTAAATATCAGGTGATGGCATTTCTGTGGCCACAAGCATATGAAAAAAAGCTCATCATCACTGGTCATTAGAGAAATGTGGTTCAAAGCCACAGTGTGATACCATCTCATGCCAGTCAGAATGGCAATTATTAATCAGTCAAGAAACAACAGATGCTGGCGAGGCTATGAAGAAATAGGAAATTTTTTACACTGTTGGTGGGAATGTAAATTAGTTCAATCATTGTGGAAGACAATGTGGAGATTCCTCAAGGATCTAGAACCAGAAATACCATTTGACCCAGCAATCCCATTATTGGGTATATACCCAAAGGAATATAAATTATTCTACTATAAAGACATGTGTACACATATGTTAGTTGCAGTACTATTTCCAATAGCAAAGATATGAAAAAACACAAATGCTTATCAATGATAGACTGGATTAAGAAAATGTGGCACATATACACCATAAAATACTATGCAGCCATAAAAAAGAATGAGATCATGTCCTTTGCAGGAACATGGATGAAGCTGGAAGCCATCATTCTCAGCAAACTAACACAGGAACAGAAAACCAAACATCACATTTTCTCACTCATAAGTGGGAGTTGAGCAATAAGAACCCATGCCATGGACACAGGGAGGGGAACATCACATACTGGGGCCAGTCACAGGGTGGGGGTTGAGGAGACAGATAGCATTAGGACAAATAGCTAATTGATGTTGGGCTTAAAACCTAGATGACAGGTTGGTAAGTGCAGCAAACCACCATGGCACTTGTATACCTATGTAATAAATGCATACTGCACTTGTATTCCAGAACTTAAAGTAGAATAAAAAATAAATAAAAATAGGGCTGGGCCCAGTGGCTTACGCTTGTAATCCCAGCACTTTGGGAGGTTGAGGCAGGCAGATCGTAAGGTCTGACTGTGATCAAGAGATCAAGACCTTCCTGGCCAACATGGTGAAACCCAGTCTCTACTAAAAATACAAATGGTGCGTGCCTGTAGTCCCAGTTACTCGGGAGGCTGAGGCAGGAGAATTGCTTGAACTTGGAGGCGGAGGTTGCAGTGAACAGATAGCACCTCTGCACTCCAGCCTGGCGACAGAGTGAGACCCTGTCTCAAAATAAATAAATAAATAAATAAATACATAAATAAATAAGATAAGTAAACTCATAACGAGGAGCCTAGGCCAAAACAGACATGAAGGTAAAGTTCCAGAATCTGTGTATCTGATCATTTCAGATCATTTTTCTTTATGGGCAGGGTTATTTTTTTATATTTGTAATCCCTGCTATTCCCTTAGTAGGGACCCTGCTAGCAATAAAGCTTGTATTTGTGAATAAATAAATAAATAGATAGATAGATATCAGGTCATGGAGCAGATTAGAGGATATCTAAGTTTTTTTTCCAGTTTTTGTAATTAAAAAGACATTGGGCCTCATTCATTTATTTTCCCTGCACTTTTACTTGATGACAATATTATTTAGCAAGGTCAATAACATTTTATTTGAAATATCTTATGTACAAATTAATGAGAAAAATAGATTCATTACAGAGACATTAACTTATTCATGTATCTTGTCAAATAGTTAACTCAGAAATATATATCAAGTTTTTATAGAATATTCAGTGCCAGATGCAGCATATAGTTATAATAAACACTAGTGAAATAAATCAAATACTATAGTATTGAATATTAAAAACTAGAAATTATAGGTGGATGAAAAAACAATAGTAGTAAATTATTCATTATTTGTGTAAAAAATTATGTCTTAGGCTCACTTATGTTAATAGTTTAAATGGTCAGTGGTTCTCTGGTTGTTTGTATTTTTAGAATATGAGAGTCTCCTTTTAAATATTGATATAGCTTATATTTATATAAAACCTTTTTACTAGATTGTAATATTACTATTAATATCCATAAAAAATAACCGAAGTTACAACTAGTTTAATTTACATTTTATAAATTTTATTAGATTTTTATAAATGAGATGATTTTTATAAATATTTGAAAAATTTGAATAGCTATTTCAACATATTTACTATTCATTTACTTGAAATAATGAATGGAAAATATAATTTGTATCTATCAATTAATGACTGTAAAATTTGATGAGTAAATGTAAGGTTTCAGAGGTTTATTGCAATTATTTCAGCCCTCTAAGCTTCTGGCTTAAAGGTTGTGTTCCTCTGACCTGAGGAAAATAAATAATATACATATAAATACAAAACAGTGCTTGCATTTTCTCCAGGAGGGCATCATGCTCCCTGGACTGTGACCTCCTTATGAATATCTTCACTCCGCAACACCCAGCACAGCATCTGAAACAGTAAGAACTCAATCCATGTTTATCACATGAATAAATAAATTATTGAATTTCACTAATTGGCAGGTCTTTATAAATGTATTCTCCATCACTTTCTCAAATTATTTTACTACCAGGATCCTTTCTCTGTTATAATAATTGATGGGTATTCTTTCGCCAAGTGAGTGTACGGTGGAGGCGAGGGTGTTCTGAGGAGCAGGTGGAATTCCTGCTGGCACTCAGACCATACTGCAGCTCAGGGGTGTGACCTTATTTGTACCACCTCCCTCACAACAAAGGGACATGCCCTCTTTAAAGAGGAAGTAACTCTGGAAGGCTAACGTGCATCTTATCAAGGATCCTGGCATGAGGGAACCCTGGTTCAGGGACAGCTTTATTGGTAAGGCCCCATTCAATGCCAAAAAGCCCCTGTGTTTAGAACTATGGAGAAAGGTGTGGAGATTTCACAATGGGATATCTAGTCCCATGGAACATTTTCAGATCCCAAAATCTTAACAATAAAAAGGGCAATCAGAAAAGGAGAATCTTTGGTACATTGTGAGGAGTTTGCAGCAACACACAGAAATCAGGAAGCACATATGAACCAACTCACACATACACAGCAACACACACATACAAACACACACAGAGAGGCTGAGAACATCCTCTGAAAAGAAGATGCATAATAGATAAGCAGCAATAATAGGTTGTTAAGCAAATATTTAGAGAGGGATACCTAGCATTTAAAAGCATTATTTTAGATTCTGGTTGTATGCATAAGATGGCTAGGAAACTTTCCCACCAGTGCCCTCATTCTCAACTTGTGCTGAGGAGGAAAAACTTATCATAGGGCATCCAAAGATGCCTTACAGGTGAGTAACATAAACCAACTATTGAAGGAGCACCGGGAAAGCAGGACTTGGCCTTCAAAAACAATTCTGTTGTGGGCTGATGTGAGCAAGCCAGTGATGATTGCAAAGCCACCTGCTAGGGTGTGTCCTGGTGAAGAAATGCTGGAGGGAAGAGAATGATAACCCACATGACGCACCATCCTGTGAGGCCCTTTGCAGCCCACTCCACAGCTGGAGAAGGAGGTTCACCTGTGTCTCCCATTGGAATAAAATAAGGCTGGGATAATTACAACAAAGCTAGCCCCAAGAACAATCACCTGCCGAGTCCTGTCTCTTTCAGCTCTCCAGGCTTTGGCTTAATGAGGATTTGGAAAGCTCCGTTTCCTCTAGGATTATGCATTCTCCACATCCCTTATCTACAACATCCTCCACATTTCATTAAGACCGATTTCAAATGCTAGCTCCTCTCCGAAGACTTCTCTCACTCTTTAGTTCGTACAAGAATTTTGTACGAACCTCTATTACACAAATTGTCACATGGCATTTTAATTCATTTTTTACATATATATATTCCTCCAGTAGACTTTGTTAGTTACCCCACGTGCCTCACTTGTATTCATATTCTCAGATCCTAGCATGGTGAGTGCTCCATGAACAATGCATTCTGCTCCCATATTCATGTGTGTGTTTCTGGCTACTTGACATCTTCCACTGAAAGGGCTCAAATTGTCACTGGCAACACTTTTTCCTGGCAAAGAGATTAGCACTACCTTTTTTGACGTCCGTGTTCCAAAAGCAATGTCCCCGTCATCTGCTTCAGGCTTTTTAGACAGTGAGAGGCTGAGATTATTTAAGGAGAGACCAGAAAAAGCATCTAAGGATATTAGAGATATCATTAGATATCTCGAATAAAATAAAGACCATCAGGCAACAATCTGGGATTGGAAAATTTAATATTGTCAGGCTCAAGTGACTTCCAGTGTCTATAAGACCATTAATAACAATATATCTGGTTTTATCTCTCACCACTTCCCTTCATATCCTTCATTTCACCTCATTTGCGCTACCCAACGTTACACAAACTCACCAAGATTTCTCCTTCCCCTCATTTTGTGTCTATAAACGTTTGCTTGCCTTTCCAACATAGTATCTCCATTTTTCGAATGGGAATACTTCATACTTATGAACATTAATTGATTTGGCCAAGGTCACATGAGATCACATCAAGTGGCCAGGATTCGATCTTGGCTTTCTCTGACTCCAAAGCTTGTTTTCCGTCCCCGCTATGCCAAGCAATTCCTCTGATTAAAAATAGCAACATTCAAATTGTTCCCCATTGCTGAAGTGTCATAAACTGGCAATAAGAGCTTAAATAATAGAATATTCTCGTAATCACTGTAGACTGTACTTATTTGTAACAGTTTTGATAAATGCACAAGAACAACTTTAGAAATAAAATGTTATCAACCAAATATCTATGTAAAAGATTCTCAGATTTTCAAGTATATCCAATCCACTTTGGGTGCTTATTTAAAAACTATAGTTTTCTGGGCCCCACTCTCTAGAAATGTGGATTTAATAAAACATAAAATAAGACCTAAGAATCCACAGTTTAAGCATACTTTGGGAAACTTTTCTATATACTCTATTATGCAAGACATTTTAAGCATATTTTGAAAACGATTTTCTATACTCTGTTTAGTACGTAAGACATTTATTACCATCAAATTTAATATGTCTGGATGGAAGCAAATATTTTCAATGCTAAAATATTTTTGTTAAGATTCCGTAGTTTCTGCTCAATATGATTAGTATGAGTTAGAGTTGATGATATAACATTGACATGATTCCTGATAGAATTAGGTGTTACTATTATACTTGCCTCTCAATCAATATATCTGAACGTGTGCAGATTTTCCTGGGTGTTCTTCTCATTAACTCAAAGTCTAAAGTTCTGTGACTCACAATATACAAGTTTGACTGCTTGTATGTGCATTTCCAGAGGTTAGTCATCGGCATTTCCTAGTACCCAGCTGATTATATCATGGAATTTTGATGATGTTTGCAGTTGCTCTAGTTGAAAAACCCTCCCAAGAACCAGAAACATGTTTCTAAAACCTGTTTCTTGTTGTAGCTCTTGTCATAATTGCCAAAAACTATTTGCTGCTCCCTGGCTGCAACTGCAACATAATTATTGAAATCCCTAGTGGTAGAAAAAAATACTATATATACATATATATGGTATATCACTATATATATATGTATATCACTATATATATTGGTATATCACTATATATATATGTGTATGTATGTGTGTATATATATTTCACTGCTTGGGATAAAGGGAATTTCATATATATGTATATATATATATATATACCTGCTTGGGATAAAAGGATGAGGAAATAAATGCCTTTGAAAATACTAATCATTCAAGAAGTTGTAATAAAGTAGAGTTTGTATGGCAGTAACTGTGAAATAGAGTCTAGAGAGATGCTCTAAGAATTAAGGTGGCAGAATTTCTGAAAAATAGGGCTTTAGTTCAATTTAACTCAAAATATTTATTATGTTTATACTGGGTCCCAGGCAATGCTAAGGGAGCAGAGGGAGGGATACATGATCCCCCACTTTAAGCCCCTTTGTACTTCTCAGGGAGCACATACACAGGCTCCAGAGCACAGGTCCTACCATCATAAACATCTGTTCTCATGGACATACCCTAAGCCTTATGAAATCATTTTACTTCTATGCACTTAAACTCTAATATGAAAGTTTTAGGACAACAATCTACTACTATCCTTCTGGAAATCTCATTCCCTTGCTTGTATTAAAAATATATATGTCTTTTGACCTCACTGAGACTCCAAGCTCATACTCTGCATTTCTTCAGAATTAATCATGTAAGGGATCTATTCTTTGCTTCCTTCCTTTTCCAGAGCATACCCCAAAGTCCGTTTGGATATTCTTGCCAATACCCACCTCCACATAATTCTAAGTGCTTCTGTAATTCTCCAGAAATCATGTTTTCACATTTGTTGGCTTCTTTAGGATTTATTTCCGTCTTCTTAGATCTCTGCATAAAGATTGAAACATATATTCTTTCTTCCTGAAACTCCAGTTTGCTTTCATTCATTTATCCATTAATTCAAAAATATTTTTTGAGTAATATTATATGCTAGCTTCCAAGAACACAGTTTTGATCAAAACGTTTTTCTTGTTTTCGTGGACATAACAGTCTAGTGGTGAGGACAGAGAGTAACAATCACACAAATACCAGTAAACTTGGCAACTATGACAGATGTGAAAGAGGAGATGGACAAGGTCCCAAAGAGCTCCTTTTGGACAGAATGTGGTAGAAGGTGAGACTGGAGAGTGAGCAAGTGTTAGACAATTTAGGACCTTGCAGGGCAGACGAAAGACTTTTGTTCCCCTTTATTCTAAAAGTTACTGAGTGGGTTTTTTGTTATTGTTTGTTTGTTTGTTTAAGGGATTGATATGCTCAGGTTTGCTCTTTGAAATTCTTTTTCCACCATTACTGTAGTAAGCAGATTGGAGGCTGGCCAGCATAGATGCTAGACCTGCCAGAAAGTTCCAACAGCAATGCTAGTGAAGGACAATAATCACTTGGCTAACATAGTGGTAGTCAAGATGGAAAAAAGTGAATGAACTGAAGAGATATTTTGGATGTAAAATCAATAGACCTTGGTGATGGATTGAAATAGAAGGATAAGAAAAAAAGAATGTTGATAATATCTCTTGGGCTTCTGTCTTGCACAACTAGATAGATGGAGGTATTATTTTCTGGGAAGAGATCACTGGTGAAGGCGAGAATGAGTTTCCAACACATTAAGTTTGAATTGTATTTGAAACTTCCAAGAGAAATGTCAAGTAGGCAATTGGATGTATAGGTTTGGAGTTCAGGAGAAAAGGCCTGGACTGGATAGATCCATAAGTTGCTATTTGCATGAGATCACTTTTGGGAGAGACTACAAACAGAAAAGAGGGACACAGACCCAAGCTTCATGAATGGGTGGTTAGAGAAGAATATACTGGCAAAGAAACAGAAAAGTAACAGAGTTGGAAAGAACATCAGGGGAATTTCAGTGTTCTTCCTATTCTCCTATCTTCAGGAGTCATATGGAAACTTTTTATCTTGAAGCGTTGCCTTTGATTTAAATTACATTGGACTGAGCTAGTTCTACAACTTCTGTGAAGCACTTTTTCTGTCTCCTTTGCTGACTCTTCTTCTTTACTAAGCAAATGTGGACAAGCCAGTTTGTTTTTCAGATATTTTCCTGTCTTTCTCTTCAGCTCTCCCTAAATGATTTCCTCCACTTAATGCGATTTCATTAACATCTGTAAACTGACAACTTTTACATAGTCCTCATCTCTAACTTCAGATAGTCAAAACATCATCTCATCCAGTTGCTGCACCAGTACTATGTATGTACACCACTCCAAAAAGTCAATTATGAAGCTTAAAATATTTTTACCTTTTGTTATAGAACAAAGGCCTGTTATTACTAAACTGTAGAAATGTATCAGAAGAATAGAAAATTAAACATACAATTATTTCTTCAGTTAACAGATTTTGGTGAATAATTCCAGAAAATTTCTATGCATATACAAAATATATGTACACAGCATAATTTTTTATATTCAAGTGTTCACATTGGGCACATTATTCTACATACTTGATTTTAAACTTATTGTAAGTTGTACATCATTCCTTGTCAATATATAAAAATCTGTCTCTTTTTTTTTGTTGCACAGAACCAATGTACCCAAATTTTCCGACCAAATTCTATTCTAATAGACATTGGATTGCTAAGAATTTTTCATTATTACAGCAATAATGAAATAAATGTCCTTGTACGTAATTTTTAATCAGTTGAACCAGTGTACCTGGAGCTAAATTTGGGGAATAGAGATTGTTGCATAAAAGTGTGTATATATTTTAACTTTTGTTAGCTGTTGTCAAATTGCTGTCCCAAAACACTATATCAACTTACACTTTCACTTCAGTCAAGTAAATAATTTTCTACTTCTGCCTCAGCAATACGTATCTAGTATTTACGACAAAAATCTAGTACTTTTATTATAAACTGCCAATCTGATGGGTGAATTTTTTTTACTTGTTTAACTGTTGTTTTTTGCTATTTTATATCTGATTTTGACTAAGTGTGAACATCTTTACTTCTGCATATTAACCATTTGTATTTTTTTTAATTCAAGACCTATCTGTGCTCATATAAGTGAAAGAGCTCTTTATTTCTTTTGCCTATTTTTCTTTTGAATCACCAATTTTTTCTTATGGTTTTACAAAAATTAAGTATATATTTTGGAAACAGACCTTTGTTATACATGTAAAAAATCTTTTTTCTTTTTTTTGCTTATGCTTACTTACCATATAGATATTTTAATTTTTATGTCGCCAAATTTGTCAATCCCTTATTGGTCCTAGATTTAGATAGACATTCCCCAATTCAAGGTACTTCAATGTTTACCCATTTTTTTCCCCTCATGTTAGTTTCCTTTATATTTAAACATGTTTTCCATCTGGAATATTTTCTGGTATAAGAAGCAAGTTAACTTAAAACTTCATACGGAACCAAAAGAGAGCCTGCATAACCAAGACAGTCCAAGAAAAAGCTGGAGGCATCACATCTCCTGACTTCAAACTATACTACAAGGCTACAGTAATCAAAACAACATGATACTGGTACCAAAACAGAGACATAAACCAATGGAACAGAATAGAGGCCTCAGAAGCAACACCACACATCTACAATCATCTGATCTTTCACAAACTTGACATAAACAAACAATGGGGAAAGGATTCCCTGTTTAATAAATGGTGTTGGGAAAACTGGCTAGCTATGTGCAGAAAGCAGAAACTGGACCCCTTCCTGACATCTTACACTGAAATTAATTCCAGATGGATTAAAGATTTAAACATAAAACCTAACACCATAAGAAGCCCTTCACCATAAGAATGTCTTATGGTGTTAGGTCTTAGGTTTAATAAGAAGAAAAACCTAGGCAATGCCATTCAGGACAATGGCATAGGCAAGGACTTCATGACTAAAACACCAAAAAGAATGGCAACAAAAGCCTAAATAGATAAATGGGATCTAATTAAACTTCAGAGCTTCTGTACAGCAAAAAAAAACAATCATTAGAGTGAAAGAGCAACCAACAGAATGGGAAAAAATTTTTGCAATCTACCCATCTGACAAAGGACTAATATCCAGAATCTACAAAGAACTAATACAGATTTACAAGAAAAAAAAAAAAAAACCAGACCCATTCAAAAGCAAGTGAAGGATATGAACAGAGATTTTTCAAAAGAAGACATTAATGAGGCCAACAAACAAATGAAAAAATGTTCAACATCACTGGTCATTAGAGAAATGCAAATCAAAACCACATTGAGATACCACCTCACGCCAGTTAGAATGGCGATCATTAAAAAATCTGGAAACAACAGATGCTGGAGAGGATGTGGAGAAAGAGGAATGCTTTTACACTGTTGGTGGGAGTGTGAATTAGTTTAACCATTGTGGAAGACAGTGTGGTGATTCCTCAAGGTTCTAGAAATAGAAATCCCATTTGACCCAGCAATCCCATTACTGGTACATACCCAAAGGGTTATCAATCGTTCTATTATAAAGACACATGCACATGTATGTTCATTTCGGCACTGTTTACAATAGCAAAGACCTAGAACCAACTTTAATGTCTATCAATGATGGACTGGACACGGAAAATGTAGCTTATATACACCATGGAATACTATGCAGCCATAAAAAGTGATGAGTTCATGTCCTTCATAGGGACATGGATGAATCTGGAAATCATTATTCTCAGCAAACTGACACAAGAACAGAAAATCAAACACTGCATGTTCTCACTCATAGGCGAGTGTTGGACAATGAGAACACATGGACACAGGAAGGGGAGCATCACACACTGGGGTCTGTTGTTAGGGGGCTAGGGGAGGGACAGTGGAGGGTGGCGAGGGTGAGGAGGTATAACATGGGGAGAAATTCCAGATACAGGTGGTGAGGGGGATGGAGGCAGCAAACCACCTTGCCATGTATGTACCTATGCAACAATTCTTCATGACCTGCACATGTACTCCAGAACCTAAAGTACAATAAAAAAAAAGTAGGTTAATTTTGCTCTAAGTGGCTAGCCAGGTGCTCAACACCATCTTTTGAATTATGTACATTTTGCTCAGTGATTTGAAAAGCCATCTTTATTTCAGACTAGAGATCTTTTCTTAATTCATATATTAAATTTATTTTTGGATCTCTAATTTCAGTAATATTTTATTCAGTTCCCTGTTCCAAATTGCATTAATAACTATAGTATTACAATGTTTAGTAACTTGTCAGACCTGAGTTTACTAATTACTATTTTTTCTAGAATGTTCATTTCTATTCTTATTTGTTGTTCCATATGAAATACAAAATTATTTTGATAAATTGTACACAAACAAAAGACTTGGAGGTCTTTTTATAATATTGTCTCTTTCTGTACAAAAACAAGAGCACCCTTCTATTGGTTCATGACTTCTTTATGTTTCCTGGGAAAGCTTGAAGTTTTTATCATACAGGTGGTACATATTATTTCTCTGCTTCTTTATAAGATAGTTCATACTTGTACTTGCCACTTTAAGTGGGACATATTTATTTTATTATATTCCATAACTGATAGTATTTAGATTATTGAATTTTGCTTAATTATGTACTCAAAATTCTTAAATATTCATGAGTTTTACAGATTATAATTGATTCTCTTGAAATTCCCATGTAGACAAATTTAGGGTCTATTAATAATAATAATATTAACTCCTTTCCAATATTTTTCTTTGGCTATTCCATCTAGAAAATATTAAGAATATAATAGTGAGTTTTCTCCCCTGATTTTAAGAAGACTGTGTTTACCATTTTGACACTAGGAATAATAGTAGATTTTTGTATAGTATATTATTTTTATTAAGTGAGAGACCATTCTATATTTTTACATTTTAATTTTTCATTTAAAAACAGATGATGAATTATATCA